TGAGATCAGCAGGACGTACTCTTCCCTGTCACCGTCTCTTCGGGACAGTTTAGGTCCAAAAGGACCTTCCAGCGGCAAAAGTATCAACTGCAATCTTGGAGTTCCAAGATCGGATGTCGTGTTGTTGCAATGCATGTAATTTTTAAAAACCAATGTATGCAGAGGAAACTCATGCAATTCCTCAGAGAGAAAGCAGTATCAAGGACTGATTTAGCAACAACAATTGGGAACCAGCCACTCCATTGCTAAGCAATGCAGTCTTAAAGTGAAAAATCATTTGACCACACTCAATGTCCAACATCGAGTGTGACATCGCATGACCATGACTTGTGACTCCCTACTGGCTTCTTACTGACCAGAAGCCAGCTGTAAAGGTTGCAAATAGTGATCACATGACTATGGTTACCAGTTACCAAGTGCCCGAATTGGAATCATGTGACTGCAGGGATACTCCAGTGGCTGCAAGTTCATGGAGAGGTCATACTTATTTTTTTTAAGCACCATTGTAAGTTCAAATGAACAAACAGTTGGTAAGAGAGGACCACCTGCATATGATTAACTTTTTACAAAGCACATGCTCTAAAAAGTTCAGTTTATTTTTCAGTCTAACTTAATCAGATAGATGACTTAGATTCAGGTTGTATTTTCTTCAATAACGTCCCAGAAGAAGCAAGAGGCACATGAATAGTAGACTCCAAATCAACTAACTGAAATTCTAACCCTCCCAAGAGGGCCCTTGAATTCATTCAAGAGCTGAATCCATGCATTTGATTAATATCATAGTTTGCTTAAGAAAGCCCTATTTGTAATCATACAATATGCTGAGCTACAGGTAGTCAATGAAGCTCCTGTGGACACTCAATGCGTGTCTCAGATACCTCTTTTAATGTCCACCAGGCTCCTCGGTGTACTTGTCTTGTTTCTATGAGTCTTGTGGTTTTTTAAAAAAAACGTTAAGTAAGAAGCTAGTATGTTGCACTGCTCCTCAGATCAATATTATCATATGATCCATCTGACTCCATGCATCTATTTAGAAGGGTCTTAAAAATCTGGGTCTTCCTAGAGATGACCTGCGAACTTGCCTTAAGGTTATGTATTTTGAGTTTTGTCTTCCCTAGCCTGGCTGTTTTATTATTTTGATTTTTTCCCAAAATTCTCTTTCTAAGCCAACTTGTATCATTTAAGGGGCCACCCAGGGCCGGATTTTCCTATAGGCTAACTAGGNGGAAGGAAGGAAGGAAGGAGGGAACAAAGGAGGGAAAGAGGGAGGGAGGGCGGGAGGAGGAAAATCCAGTTACCTTCTGGAAAAATCCCCTTTAGGACAACCATGACCTGGATGCTTGAGAATGTCCACAGAAGATCATAAAATCAAGTTGGCTTCATTTAATGACTGCAGTGCTTATCAACGGATGTTCTGCTCTCAGTTGTGGCCATAAGCCGAGCACCACCTGCATAACTGTCACTGTATCCAAACAACACAACACACTTCTTGCATTTTATAATACGTAATAAATTACAACAATACATACTGTAGATCTTCAACAGTTCATTTAGTGACCATTCCAAGTTACAACAGCACTGAAAACAGAGCCTTATGACCGTTTTTCACACTTACGACCATTGCAGCATGCCCAGGGTCAGATGATCAAAATTTGGGTGCTCTCATTTTTATGACGGTTCCAGTGTGATTCCCTTTTGTGACCTTCTGACAAGCAAAATCCAGATTCAATTCATGACCACATTGCTAACTTAACAGCTGCAGCATTCACTTAACAGCTGTAGCAAGAAAGGTCGTAAAATGGAGCAAAGTTCCCTTAACAAATGTTTCCCCTCGCAACGGAAATGTGGAGCCTCAATGGTGGTCGTATGTTGAGGACTACCTGTACTTCCAGAGAGGCATTTCTCTGCAAAATGGCAGAGCGGGGCATCAAGTTATATGAAAGCTGGGACACGACCAGTGAAGTAAAGACGGGGACAGAGAAAGCTCAAAGAGCAGCCTTCAAAATGGAAAAGGCCTTCTGCAGTCACGACTTAAGCCCAAGACTGAAAAACAGGCTTGTCAAATGCTGCATCTTTTCTATCCTGCTCAGTGGTGAAATTCATTTTTTTTTACTACTGGTTCTGTGGGCGTGGCTTGGTGGGGCGTGGCAGGGGAAGGATACTGCAAAATCCCCATTCCCTCCCCACTCTGGGGTCAGCCAGAGATAGTATTTGCCGGTTCTCCGAACTACTCAAAATTTGCGCTACCGGTTCTCCAGAACCTGTCAGAACCTGCTGGATTTCACCCCTGATCCTGCTCTATGGAGTAGAATTGGTCTCTGGACCAATTGAAAGCCACTTGAAGAAACTAGAAGCATTTGGAATGTGGACTTACAGGCAGCTGTTATGTATAAGTTGCATTGACAAAATCAGAAATGAGGCGGGGATGAGCCGCCTGGGAAAGCCAAGGAAAATCATCAAAACCATAAAAAAGCCAAAGTTAAAATATTTCGGACCTGGGATGCAACACCTGGAAAAATATGCCACACTTCACTTCACAGAGCCGAGATGGCGCAGTGGTTAGGGTGCAGTACTGCAGGC